CCCGTCCCCGCCGCCGCGCCCGCTGTGCCGGGCGCTCTGCCGTCCGGAGCTGGGCCGGCCTGAGCCGCTCCGGGCCTTGACGCCGTCACACCCGGGCTCCGTCCTCCACCAGGTCCCGGAGGGGCTGGGAGGCGGCCGCGGACCTGTGACCTAGTTCAGTCCGCCGGTTCCCCGCTCTTCCCCGGCCTGGCATGCCTGGTGAGCTCAGATACACGTTTGTTGAATGAATGAATGAATGAATGAGAGAGAGAGAGAGGGAGAGAGGGACTGGGTGAAGGAGTCGGTGGATGATGGCTTCCGCAGGGCCTGGGGAGGGTCAGCTGGGACAGCCCCCGACCTGTCACCTCCGCCTGAGACCCTCCAGATGGGGGGGCACACCTCCCATCCTCCACCTCTTTACAAAATCGACCGCCATCCCCCCCAAAAATGGGGACCTGAAAATCGAACTCCTCCTTGTGGCTGGCCCAGGAGGGCGGGGGGCTCACAGCTGACCAGCAGTCAGGCTGGGTCCTCTGCTAATGGGGGACCCCAATCCCTAGGCTGTCTCAGCACGATTTCTAGGAAGACTCTGGGGAAAATGGGGGGCCGTCCATGCGGCCCCGGTGTTGCTGCGGGGGCCTCGGTGAGGTCTGTGTCAGAGGACAGCTGGGTGCTGGAGAGGACTTGCTTGTGCCGCTCGTCTCCCCCCGAAATCTTCAGCAGTGGAGGGGTCGGCCGGGTCTTTCTCTGGGCCGGAGCCTCAGTTTCTGGGAGTGAAGTGTATTTTTTTTTTTTTTTTTTTTTTCCTGGCTGGAGAATGCTGGGACCCGGGGGCACCTCAGGGTCTCGCGCATCCTTTCGGAGGGCGGAAATGGAGACACAGGGTGTCTGCGATAGCCACTTTCAGGGGTCCTGACTGTTGCCCGGTTGCCCCCTTTCCTACCCCCAGAATGCACCAGGTAACGGGTCCCCAATCTGTGTGACACCCGGCAGGACTTGACCTGGCCACTTGGAGTGAGTTGGGCACGGGCAGGAGCCAGGGGCATCGGCTCTGCCTCTGGGCCTCTGCTGTGTGATTCCTGGCTGGTGCCGGCCCTCTCTGGGCCCTAGCCAAAGCAGGGTGGCTGCTGAATGGGAAGGCAGGATTCCTGGGGGAGGGAAGGGACCTTAGGCCCCTCCCGCCAGCACTCCTTTTATGTGGTTTTATTTCTGGGGAGCCAGAAATGCACCTGCCAACTGTTGGGATGGAGCCGCGGGAGGGGCCCCCGGGGTGGAGAGAATTCCCCCCAGAGCACATCCTCCAAGCGGCTCTGCATGCCCGGATGTGGGGTCCTGTGGGGCGGGGGCCAGGGGAGCTGTGCAGGCTGGAGGGCCGCAGTGGGAATATCCGCGCATCGCGCTCGCGCCCCAGATGGAGGGGTAACCTAGGCTTGCCTTGCCCTTGATTTTTGCCCCTTAATCTCTCTGAAGTGACCCCACTGAGAAGGGCTTCAGAACATCAGTGCATTTCAGGGAAACTGAGTCCCGAAGAGCCGGGGGGGGGGACCCTCCTTGGTCCTCACACGACCACGTCCTGACCCCCATCCCCCGCCCACCTCTCCTTCCCAGGCCCGGGATGTGGAGCTTCGGGGCAGAGCGGTGGCAGCCCCCCAGCCAGGATGAGGCCCTCAAAGACGATGTGGGAGGGAAGAGCCCGGACATCCCGGGCTGGGTGCCGGCTGCCGAGGCCTCCGCAGGGGGTCGGGCAGGGAGGGCGGAGGCCGGGGTCAGGCGGGCTCGGGCAGGGCTGGGGTCAAGGTTAGGGTTAGGGCTGTTTTTCCGCTTTTAGGAGGCAGTGATGGAGACGGAGATAGACCCGGAGTCAGGAAGGAGGGATGCGTGGGGACGCCGGGACCCCGAGGGAGCAAGGGTCCAGGACAGAGGGAGAAGGGGTACAGGGCGGCCGGTCAGCCACTCCCAGAGCCCCAGTTCTGCCCCCCATCCGGAGAAGGATCCAGCCCCCTGCCCCCGCCAGCCGGGACCCTGGCTTCCTAGTGGCCCCTGAAGCCTCTTGGGGCGGTGACCTGGTGGCACGGACCCTGCTTCCAAGGGGACCGTAAGGTGCCCCCCACGTGGGGACCGCACGTGAATGCCCCCCCAGCCCGGGGTGGCTATGCTCGGCCCCCTTTATGCAAATCCCACCCGTATTTGCATGCTAATGACAATATTTATCTTAAAGCAGTGCTGGGGATGAGGGGGCGCGCGGGGGTGGCGGGGGCCGCGTTGCCATGGGAGCCGGGGAGGGGCAGGGGCGGCTGCAGCGCGGCTCCGGCGCGGCTGAGAGCCCAGGGTGAAGGGAGGCGCGGGGAGGGAGTGACCCAGCCGCGGAGCTCTCAGTGTAACCTCTAGGGGTCTAACTCAGGAGCATCTCCCACCATGCCTCAGTTTCCCCAGCTGTCCTTAGGAGGCCCCGGAGCCTCCTGTCTGTGATGTTGATGCTGTTTCTGCTGTCTGGTTAGGCAGAGAACATTTATTGAGCGCCGCTGTGTTCAGGCATGCCTGTGTGCGTGCGCGTGCCTGTATATGTACACTGCCATCAGGGACTAAGAGAGTTTCCTTAGGGACCCATGGTGGGACAGGGTGCGTGTTAATACACCTGCCTGCACTGACATTTATTGAGCAATTGCTGTATACTAGACTTTAAGGCCAAAGCTAGACATGGACATGTCCAGCTGCAGGGGTGGGGGGGATACAGAAAGGCGCAGGTTGGGGAAACTGGATAAGAAAGGGGAGCTCTGCTTGGGGAATCCAGCTGCATGCAGGGGAGCTTTAGAATTGGGGCTTTGAAGGTTGAACAGGAGTTTTCCAGGTGGAGGAAGCACTGCTTTATTCATTCACACAAACACTTCGGCCTCCTATGAAGGACAGGAGGCACAGTGGCGAGCAAGAGGTGGGTGTGTGTGTCTCCCTTCCTGGGTTTGGGAAGAGAAGACCGGGTGGCGAAGGCCTGGATGTGAGAGGCACTTGTGGAGGGTGGGAGGGGAGGCAGGAGTTTGGAGACTTGGCAGCTGGACTCCTGGATCTTGCACGTTTTACTGAGGGCACTGGGGAGCCATGGAGGAGTTTAGAGCAGGGAGTTCAGACCAGTGAGGAAAGGCCTGTTAATTTCCTGTGCCCCTGGGTAAGCAGACAGGCGGCTCCTGCCGGGGCAAAGCTCTGGTGGGGAGGAGAGGCCCTGCTGCAGAGGAGAGGAGAGGGAGAGGGGGAGAGGAGCTGTGTTCTCCTCCTCCACAGGGACAGGGAGGAGATTGGAGCCCAGAGGGGACCACGCCCCACCCCAGGTCACGCAGCAGCGTGGTGGCCCAAGCCCCGAGCCACTTGGAGGAGGAGAGGAGGGAGAGACAGTGAGATTTGCCAGCACCGGCGGGAGCGCTGTGTTTGGGAGACGCCGGCCTCGCACGGTCCAGAGGTCCTGGTCGCCATCAGTCGTGGCCACAGCCGTTGTCATGGTGGTGCCGCTCAGGGGAGGCAGGGACGCCCTGTCCTCCAGGGAGCACGCGGTGGGACAGAGCAGGGAGTGGCCGATGAGTCACTGGCTGGGCTGGGTGCGGCGGGCTGGGGGTGGGAGGGGCGCGGGCCGGAGGTGTGAAATACGGGGGTGCGTGGATAGGAATCGGAATGCGTGGATAGGAATCGGATGGAGGGGCAGATGGACGCCTGGGTGATGGAAACTGGGTGCTTGGGTGGATAGATTCAAATCGGGTGGGTGGGCGGCTGGAAGCCGATGAATGGATGGATGCAAATGTGGACGGTAGTTGGGTGATAACAGTGTGGACGGGGTGGGGGGGGGTTGCGGAGGTACAGGTGGACACGTGTGCTCACCGAGGCGGGGGGCTGAGGGACGGGCGGAGGAGGACCGGGATGGCGGTGAGGGGAAGACAGGCAGGTGCCTGCCCGGTGCGCCCGGCCGGCCTTCCGCGTCTGGCGAAGATGGCTGATCATCCCCTTCGGGATCTGGCTCTCAGCCTTGGCTCTGGTTTTTATTTTCGTGGGATCTTGGACAAGCGCCTTCATCTTCTCTGAACTGAGCTGCTGTGTGACACATGGCAGGTACTGAGGGCCGCCTCACCGAGCGGGTGTGACTGTGAGAGTTACTCTGGAATTAGCCCAAGTGCTGTCGTGCGTGGGACAGAATCCTGCGTGCACGGTCCGGCAGCCAAACCATCGAGGAGGAGCCATGGAGCCCCTGTGATGTGCACCGGGCACTGAGCTGGGCTGTAGACACACACAGCAGTCTGGGGAGGGGAGAATGACAATACACACAAATAAAGTGTAATTGGTGTGCATGGTCAAAAATAAGTTATGATGTGTGTTACCTTGGCAGTGAAAGTGAGGTGACATTCGAGATGAGACTGGAATGGCAGATGAGAAAGCTGTTGTTCTAAAGCAAAGGAAAAGGTTGTCCAGGCAGTGGGCAAGGCATGTGCAAAGGCCCTGGGGCAGGACACAACCTGGGATGGTGCAGAAACAGCAGGAGGCCGTTTGGCTGGAGCAGAGGGAGCAAGGGTCAGAGAGGGCGCAGGGGAGGAGGGGTGGGGAGGGCGGCTGTGCAGGGCTCTGTGGGCTGCAGGAGGACTTGGGCTTTGGCCTGGGAGATGGAAGCGATGGAGGGCTGAGGACAGAGGAGGGAGGGACCTGACTCAGGGGCTCGCAGCACCCTCTGACTCCTATGGGCTGAGGGTGAGAGCCAGGGACCAGGTGAAGGGGACTGGGCTGGACCCTGGGGAAGTTTTTGTTTCTGAGACAGGGTGTCACCATGTAGCCCAGGCTGGCCTCGAACTCGTGCCGATCCTCCTGCCTCAGCCTTTTTTTTTTTTTTTTTGCCTCAGCTTCTTGAGTACTGGGATGACAGATGTGTACCACCACACCTAGTCTAAGTCTTTTTCATTAAAAAAAGTTGTGCATGTGCACACATGCCCATGCATACTCTGTGTGTGTGTGTGTGTGTGTGTGTGTGTGTGTGTGTATTCAGGCCCTTAGATCAGTGGGACAGGCTTACTCAATGAAATCATCCCCAAGTGCCACTCTCTTCCTGATTTGGGTAGAAATCCAGAGGCTGCCTCAGACATGCTGTGTGGGCTCGAGGAAGCTGCTGTGCCTCTCTGAGTTTTGGTTCCCCCATCCATACCAGGAGCACAAGTGTGAACATAAACACAGTGAGGTTCCGGGGGGTGGCGTGCACCTGGAGTTCACCCATTACCCTGGACCTTCTCGTTTGCCTGCAGAGACCCTTTATCCAAATGCAGTGATGTTCGAGGTTCCAAAACAGGCATATCTTTTATTATGCAGGAGACAGTTTAACCCACAACATCCTCTTATAAGAGGTGATCGAAATTATATGATGAATGTTTAAATTTTAAAATGTCTTACAGCGGGGCGTGGTGGCACACGCCTGTAATCCCAGCACTCAGGAGGCTGAGGCAGGAGGATCGTTGCGAGTTTGAGACCAGCCTGGGCTACAAAGTGGGCTCAAGGCCAGCTTGAACTGTATAGCAAAACCCTGTCTCAAAAAGACAAAAAAATAAAATAAAATAAATAAAATTTTTTAAAAAATGTCTTACAATAAAACCCACATTCCCATGAGTCCCGCTGAAAATCCTCCCCCTCACTTTGAGCACACTGATCCCATGGTGCTGGCTGCTTTCTGCAGCAGCTCTGGAGTCCTCTTTCCTGAGGGTCTTTATGGGGCGCGATCAAAGATATGATGAATGCTGCTGCCACACACCATACAGCGGAGAGGCGGCTCGTAAGCACAAGGTGCTGTGTCCTCATCCAGCTTAGTCACCCACCTGCTACTGTGCGACTTGTGCATCTTCCCCCAAGGCCACGAAAGGGAAACATTTTGAATCTGCTCTGGACATCAAGGCAGCCCGGACAGCATGATTAAAGACACTCAGGAAAGAGGCATCCAGAGCTGCTGCAGAGCGGGGCAGCATCTGGGAAAGACACAAACCTGGGGACAGCATCTGGGAAACCTCAGAGGGTGCCCCGGCCATTAGGGCACAGCCACAGCTGGGCTGCCTGGGGTCAGACCCTGGATTGCAGGTGTGGTGGCGCATGCCTGTGATCCCAGCACTCAGAAGGCTGAGGCAGGAGGATCACTGAGAGTTCAAGGCCAGCCTGGGCTACACAGCCACACCCTGTGTGAAAAAAACCCAAAAAAATCCAGACATTTATTCTCTCACAGTTCTGGGGCTGGAAGGCTGAAGTCAGGGTGTGGGCAGGGCTGGTTCCTCTGAAACTCTGGGGGCAAGGTGTCCCACAGCTCCCGGTGACCTCTGGGGTTCCTAGGTTGCACTGACGTCGCCCCATCGCAGCCCCGCGCCTGGCTGAGACGTCCCGAGCGGCTCCCGAGTTGCTTCAGCACCAGGGACAGCGGCGCGGCTCGGAAGGCGCTCGCTGCTTTGGTGTCCTCTCCCAGCTCCCAGCCCTTGCTGCTTGCTATTTTGCTTTAAGGTCGCTTCAAAGACCTGGCTCTGCCTTCCCATGGCCCCACGCTCCAAGTCCCGCAGACCAGGACTTTGTGAGGGAAATAAAGACCCAAGGGGGGTGGGGCGGGCTGCGCCCTTGTTTTACAGCTGCCCGCAGCCCAGTTTCTTGCCAGTCCTGCCGATTTTTCTCAGCTATTAAGGCTCGTGGTTGGGGGCCGGGGATATAGCTCAGCGGCACAAGCGCCTGCCTGGCAAGCGCAAGGTCCTGAGTTCGATTCCCGGTACCCTCTCCCCTCCAAGAAAGACTATTCATCTTAAGGCGATTCCTTTCCCCGAAAACCTTGGGGAGTAAAATTTAGAAAACAGAAACCTCAAGAAGAGAGAAAACAGGTGCAGTGCCGCATGCCTGTCACCCCAGCACCCTGGGAGGCTGAGGCAGGAAGATCACAAATTCGAGCCCAGCCTGAGCACCTTAGCAACACAGGGAGACCCTGTCTCAGAATAAAATATAGAAAGCTCTGGGGATGCACTCAGTGTGAAGGCCCCGAGTCCCATCCCCAGTACTGCAAAGCAAGAGGAGGAGAGAAGGGAAGGAGGAGCCACAGAACAGTAGATGTTTGTGTCCTGTTTACCTCAAAAAGGGTAAACACGTAGAATCTGTAAAGAGCTCCGATCAAGCAGCAAGCTGTTTGACTTTGTTTTTGAGGCAAGGTGTTACTAGTAATCCAGGCTGTCCTTGAACTCATGATCTTCCTGCCTCTACCAGCTGTAATTTTAATTTTGGTAAAATATATATAACATAAAAATTACCAATTTAACCTTTTTTCCCCCTTTGGTACTGAAGACTGAACCCCAGGACCTTTGCACTGAGCTCCATCCCCAGCCTGTTAATATATATATATATATTTTTTTCAATAAGGTCTTGCTCAGTTACTCAGTTGCCTAAGCCAGGCTCAAACTTGTGATCCTCCTGCCTCAGCCTCCCAGAGTGCTGACATTGTAGGTGTGCACCATGACATCCCGCCAATCGAACCATTTCTAATTGTGCAGCTCAACACCACTTAGTACCCTGACCCGGCTGCACGCCATCCCCACCACCCACCTCCAGGCCTCTCTCATCCCAGCCCAAGCCTCTGTCCCCAGGAAATGCTGACTCCCATCCTGTCCTTGGCTCAGCACCCCCATCTCCTTCCTGTCTCTGTGGATCTGGTGGTGCTGGGGCCTCCTGGGAGTGGGACCCTGCAGTGTCCGTCCTTCTGTATCTGGCTCAGTTCCCTGAGCAGCACAGCCTCAAGGTCCATCCTCCATGTAGCAGTATCAGGACTTTAATCCTTTTCCTGGCAGAGTAATAGTCCCATGTGTGGAACACTGTGTGCACCCATTCTGCTGTTGGTGGGCACGCGGCTGTTCCCACCTCTGGCTGTGGGGGTCATGCTGTGTGACATGGCTCTACGGGCTCCCTCTTCACCCCCTGTTTTTCTTCCCCACTCCAGGCTGTGCCTTCCTGACCTACTGTGCCAGGGACTCTGCCATCAAAGCTCAGACTGCCCTGCACGAGCAGAAGACCTTGCCCGGGGTGAGTCCTGCATGGTGGGGAGGAGGGGATGGAGGGCTACTTGGACTGGGGCCAAGCCCTTCTTGGGATTGGCTGAAAAACCCATGTGCCTGCTTCTGGACTTGGAAAGAGATATAAGAGGGCAGACATCTTCTTCCGGGTGAGCATTTATACTGCTTGTACCGTGTTGTAGACTTTGCAGGCGGGGGCTGTGTGTGGTTGTTCAGGTTGTATACTGCACCAGCCTACCTGGCCCAGAGTGCATGTGTCATTAGAGACCTAAAGGATGAGGACGTGGAAAAAACATGCAAAGGCCCTGGGGCAGAGCCCAGTTCATTACAGGAGCAGTAGGGAGACCCATGTGGCTGGACCAGGGGGAGCCAGGGGCAGACAGGGAAGAGGGCAGGCAGGGAGGACATGGGTGGGTCATGCGGGTTACACTTTCTGGGGACACAAGGTGTGCCTTCAATTTGTTTCAGCTCTCAACAAGTAATACAAATCCTGGATTGTGGTCTCAACCCCACCGTGAAGAATAAAAAGCCACTCTTCGGGGTGTGCTGTGGCTCAGGCAATGACGTATGCGTGGGTCCCATCTGTCCTTGCTGTGTGACAGTGAGCCAGTGACCTAACCTCTCTGGTCTTCACACCAGAAACATGACGCTGTATCAGTCCTTGTCCTGGTCCTTATATAATGAATCACCTGAGGCTGGGGATTTGAGAAAGAAGAGGGGTCTATCAAGCTCATGGTTGGAGGGGGCAAGGGTGTGGCACCGACATCAGCCCTCCTCTGGAGAGAACCTTGCTGCAGACACATCACAACACAGGGCAGTGTGTGAGAGGGAGGGGTCATGCAGTGGGGCAGGAAGCCAGGGTGGGGGAGGGGATGTCTCACTCCATTTATTTATTTATGTATTTTTTTCTTCTTTTGTGATACTGGAATTGAACCCAGGGCTTTTACACTGAGCTACATCCCCGGCCCTTTTTTTATTTTTTATTTTGAGACAAGATCTCACTAACTTGCTAAGTTACCTAGGCTGGGCTAGAATTTGACTTTCTCCTGCCTCAGCCTCCCAGAGTGCTGAGATGACAGGTGGGACACACCAACCCCAGTTCCCATTCTGTTTACAGCTCACCCTCCCTACCCAAGAGAACTGTTCACACCTGGAGGCCACGCCCCCAATAACCTAAACTCCTCCCTCTAGGTCCTGCCTCTTAAAGGTTCCACTGCCTTCCAGCAGAGCCTCACTGAGGATCACACTTCTGGCCCATGACCCTTTGGGGGGGGTCACACCCTGTGCAACCCCTACCAGACAGGAGAGGAAAGGGCATCGCAGGCACAGGCAACAGCACTGCTGAAGGAATGTAGGGGCTGGGGATTTAGCTCAGCGGCACAGCGCCTGCCTGGC